TAACTGGACCTTTGCCAGGGTGCAGCACATGAAATCTAACCTTCTTATCTTGCAAATGGAGCACAATCAGTTGTGAGAAGAATACCTGCCTTTCACAGGTTGTTTGCCGTTCCCAAAGGAAAGCATGGAAATAAATCAGTGTCCAGACCTAACATGGTCCTACTACCATCACTAGATGGTAGGACAAGAATTACCCCAGCAATGGTGAAGTGTAACAAGGTCCCTACCCCTGTTGTACTGCTTCCACCTGGAGTTAGTAGATGCCCCCATTGCCACTCAAACCTTACAAGATAAGTGGGTCTTTAAAGGAGGCAAGACTTATTTTTGTCATTCTTCCCACAATGTATTTCTTATGTGTTACTTGTAATGATTCTGCTATTCATTAAATTATCTCTTCAATTATAATACCTTCCAAAATCTTTCCTGATGCATAGTTACCTTATGGCAATGATTATTTAGCAGTTCAATGTATTAATTAGTTCAATATATTTTAAAATTATCACTATTTTAAAATTATCATTATTTTACAGCAATGCAAGCTCGATATCATTGAGTATTCTCTGTTGGAAAGTTCTCAATATCCTTCATGAAAATGTGACACAGCTGGAACACTAGACTAAAAAATTTAGGAAACAACTTGTATTACCATTGTAATATAGTGCTTTTTTTGTAGGGCATTAAATTAACATGTATAGTACTGCATGCATCACTTATCTCTCTGGAGAATTAAGTAGGCAATTTGATGCATCTTTTTGACTATCATCTACGTATTTATATTAGACATCTTCAATAAACTTAATCAGCTTTTGAGTCCTAAAGAGGTGAGTTTTATGATGCTTCATCACTGTGCAGACTTTGTCATATTTTCAGACYGGGTCCTATATGAACACTCTCTTGTCCAGACGATTTTGGCTTTTATTAATAGGTCATTCTGTGCTTGAATATCTGTGATTTTGGTCCTAGTCTGTGTCACAGTTTTAGGTATCTCTCTCATATGAAGAACCTGGGCTCTGACCCTCTTGAAATCAAAAACCAAGAGCATATTGAGAGTAGTAGCACTTGAGAGGTGCCAGGAGCTGGCGTGCACATCTGTAGGCATTGCTCTCCTAGTGCAACCTGCAACTACTTAAATACCTGATGATATTAAGTGGTAATGGCCAAAAAAAAAGTCATTTGGCTGCTCTCATTGGTGTTCTGAAGCCTGATGCTACCTGCTGGTCTTTTCAAGGTTGTTTGCTGAGATGATGCATGCCGGGAGAGAAACAGTTATTGTTTGGGCCTGGTTGTCTGAACGTGTTGCATCTACAGCATGCTGCAGACTCTCCTTACCYGGAGTTTCCATAATTATCCTTTCAGACACTTCTTATCTTCTGTGACATTGCGCCAAGATGATCTTTACTTTCTTTCACAAAACTGTGACTCAGAAGCGTATTCATGTTCCCTGGAAATTGTTTGTAGTTTGCATGGTGGTATGTGGTCAGTAAATCTGCTAAGGCACAAATAACATTTGTGATATAAACATCATACATTTCCTTAAACAGGTACAAAAAAAAAAAAGAAAATGAAATATATTTGGTCAATTTTGATCAAGTGTTTTTGTCTTCTGCTAGCTTGTGGTTTAGATGATGTAGAATGTGAAAAAGAAAACAAAAGTGCACAGGGAATGCATTTCCTTAAAAGAAGTGGAGGAAATGCCTTGGAGGAAAATGTTTATTATGTAAAATAATCTAATGATATCTATAAATGTTCATTTATTGAATAGAGGTGGAAACCAATTAGAAAAAATGCTTCTGCTGACTTTGAAAAAACATTAGCCTAAAATTAACTTTCTGTCTATAAAAACAGAAGTTAATGGGGAAGGCACTCACCTATACATGAAGGTCAGATAAAGGCTCTTTATGGCTGAAAAGGCAATGGGGTAATAAATATTAATAGAATGCAGCTTTTGCTCACTTTGCTAAAAATGCTACCGAGGAAGATCCTTAACACAATTTAAATGTCAAGCACCAAAGCATTTTCYCTTTTTATTTATTTTTATTTGTTTTTCCACAAAGATTGCAACCTTGCTGGATTATTTTCAGAGAGACTGATGCCCACATATTTCTGAATTCTCATGGACTGTTTTTTTTAACTGGCGTCATTTTAACAAGACCATAAAGTGCAAACCAAGAGGGCCTCACTCTAGATTCACAGTACACTGGCTGCGCTTCGTATTCCTAATATCTCCGTGGTGATGATAACTTCAGGTCAGACAAAGCACTTCCCTGTATACAGCCTGAAGTAGAATTAAAAATGGATTTGAGTTGAAGCACTAGTTTTAATTAGTACTAAAACACTTGAATGAAAGGACTCTTGGTTCTTATGTACCAGTAGTGTTCGTCTGTGAATAGTTTATCATTAGACTTGCAATAAATCTACTTTTACTGTTAAATTCCAAAATTATGGACATCATCCTACCACTGTCCACTTTGTATCCGAAAAAACATAATATGAGATTTTTTAGAGTTAGGAATTAAAATTACCTGTCTACGTAAGCATTTCATACTGTTTCCTAAGTGTTTGTTCCAGATTTCTCAGCATTAATGAAGTTGTTGTTAGCATTTTTTTCTTTAAATAATTAGCCAGACTGATTTCATACAAGCAGCAACAGGGACAGCTTTTTCATTCTTCCCGATATATCTCAGCTGTGGCATTTGTAAAATAAATGTAAAGATACTTGACSAGTTTTTAAAGTACCTTAGTTGAAAACGCAGTGTGATTTTGAATTATATTGGTTATTTTTTTACGTTGTTCCAGACATCAGATTTTGATTTTACTGCTTTTCTACAAGGATAGAAGTAAAATAAAAGTCAAACAGTGGTGTTGTTTACCAGGCTCTTTACGTTATTCAGTGACCCATTGCTTTATTTTATTCTTAGCTTATGCCTGGTATAAGTAGATAGTCATATTTAAAAAAATGTGCTCTGTAGCTATTATGTTCTATCTCAGCCCGGTCATAAACCCCCTTGTCTTTGACTTGAGCTCTCACAACACACTGCACAACTCGTATTTATCTGTCTGTGAGATAGTTAAGCAGGCTGCGTTTCTGTGCTCACTTCCAGGGCTAATAACCTGGGTTTGTATATAGYGTAGAGGAGAAGACTTGTAAGATTGTCTCTGAACACAGGGGAACACTTAAAGAATGTAACCAGTAAAGGAGCGTAATCATTTAAGTGCAATAAAAAGAATGTCTCCTTGAGGCAGAGAAAAATTGTCATTTTTAGAGCCTATGAAAGGGTAATTTTGCTGAACCAATCCCACATATAAATAGAAGGTTGAATTTCATACAGGATTGAATGTCTATTTCCAAGTTATGAAGCTGAAAGGAAAGTTAATACTAAAGGACAAATTTCCAAGTCCAGAGTGACACATTGAAATCTCAGAAGTGGTAAGGACACCAATAGTGTGTGTGCACAATAACTCTGTGTGTGCTCATTGTATGCAATTAGAAATAAACCAGCTCAAGGAAAAATATGTAAAGTCTTTTTCAAGGTATGCATAGTAATKCTGTTGGGTGGATGTGATTTGTGTATAAATATCAGTGAGCCTCTATTTTTGTTTAAAGTATATCCTGCTTGCTCCTCTTRCCCTCTCGCTGGTGCTTTTTCAGACAGCTTTTCTGGTTACCTCCTTTGAAAAAGTAACCGTTTCCCTGTGCCCACCTTTTGCTGCTTTAAGAATTCTTAATTCACAAAAAATTTCCATGGTGCCTTTATGGTAAAAACATGTATAATACCAGAAAAACAGAAATAAGCTTTCAAAAAACCTACAGACATTTTAAGTTCACTTTGCAGACCTGAGGACTCCTAGTGCAAGTGTACATTGGCACAAGGACTCCTCTTTCTGGAAGCAAGGTTTATTTCTTAGGAGAGTGGCTGAATTTAATGGAATCAGTGGTGGGAGCCAAGTAGTACAACTGAACGCCAACACGCAGGGCTTGACCCTGGGATGCTCTTTGGTGCTGTATGTCAGGCTTCAGGAAAAACTAAAAATGATCCCTAAGGCCAAGGGCCTGATCCTGCAGGACTTCTGAYGCTTCACACTTCCCAATTTTCATGYGCCTGTACTGTCCTGCCATGACTAAATCAGGACTTTCCCAAATTGCGTTTTCCTCTGCAGGTTTCTGTCAAAAAATACAATGATCTTCTTTCCAGCATTGTCATGATTTAATGTGTTGTCCAAAAACATCTACTATTTCAAGGTTTCTCTTAAAGCTTATTTTGTGGAAGTGCTATTTTATTTTCCTTTTTTCTATTATTATTTTTTAATGCAAAAGTTAGAAGWGATTTGCTAAAGATACAGTCTCAGTCATGTTTGTAGCTGAGCATTTTTTTCTTTTTATTTCTGCATACTCCTAGTAAGGAAAATGTGCATGGTTTTCACAGCTCTGATGTACTAAGTTGATAAGCTGTACTGAGGCATAAAAGCAATGCAGCACGATGATGTCTCTCATCTGGGTTTGGTTCTCAGGGACATTTATGCATTGCAGAACCACAGGAGGCTTCAAAAATACTGCATCACCTCCAAGGTTCAGAGTTTAAAGGAAAGATTCCTATGCTGGAATCCTGAATGAGTATTTGGACACGTGCATATCAGTTATCTGTCTTTAAGAGATGCTGAGCTTCTGCAGTTTCCAATGTTATTTAACAGCTGATAATATAAAATCCTGAGCAGCCCAGTCTAGTAAGTAAATAGTCGGTAGAGTGAGCAGCTCTGCTGGTGTTTCTCATGGAAACATTGGAAATACATCGGTGTTGGCAACATATGTAGGTGTTTGCTTCTGCTGGGCAGTTTCTCAAGGAAACATAAAGTCAAGATTATTGTACAATTATGTGTTATTTATGCCAACTCTTGACCGGTCTGCTGTGCTCATAACATGGTATTTTATGCTTGTATATCTGCTGCTAAGCCCACTGCATGAGGACACTGTCCTCAAGAGAGCATTGAATGTTACTTTACAGAATCCTATCGCTGCTTGGATGAAGAATATTTTCACAGAAATGAGAGAGTCCACCATGAAGCCCTCTGAGTTTACTTAGGAAATCTCTGATCGTAAGTATTATTGTATTGCTAGAAGCTTCAAAAGTTCCAAGTAGAATATTCTGTTTTCTTGCATATGCTGCAAGTTAGAAATATTCCCATTCTTATGTTGGGTACTTGACTGGGATGTGAGCGCCTTTATTTATCGATGAAGAGACTATTACTATACTCGCAAATCCCCAAGTAGGCATTTTTATCTCTGCTCAGAGGAGAGGGATATTTGGTTAAATAAATTTTAAAATTAATTAGAACCTTTCAATCTTTGCTAAAGCCAACGATAATTATTTCAGGGGTGGGTAAAGAAAAATGTATTTAATTTCCGTTTGTTTCCAAATATGTATTTTCCTCTTGTAGACGTATATGAAGGAACTGTGAAAAATTACATAGAAAAGAAATAKAGCTGGCAGGCTTCTCCACAGGTCATTTCTTTTCTCTAACGACTAAGGCAATGAACTATCCACGCTGTGCGCTGTTACTGTGGAAACAATTATGATTATGAAGGTTATATTCTGCTTTTATTCCAAATGGAGACAAAAGAAACTGACATTCAAGAAAAAAATTAATTTAAAGAGGCAAAAATAACATGCAGAGATAAAGCATTGTTAWTTTTTGTCTGAAGTTCTGTGTTAGAAAATGTTGATTTAAATATTGCTTCCCAAGTAACAAACTTTCCCCTGATAGTGTCTGTTGTTCAGCATATTGCTAGATCTCTTAAATCAACGTAGGCTAAAGTCTCTTCTGTTTCTATTCTTTTACATGCCTGGGGGAATGAAAAGGCATAACCAATCTTTTCTTAGTTTTGCTTAGTGTAGTTTTTGTTGGTTGTTTTTTTTTTTCTTTTTTGATTGTCTTGGGCTGCATTAATACTGGGTATATCCGATTATCATGCAAAGGTGATTTGAAGCATTTCTTTGTTTCCTTAGCAAATTACAAACTAAAATTTCCTTTTTTTAGGTAGCCTGGTTATCCCATCTGTTCTTTATTATTGCTAAAAGTCTACATTAAGTTCCCACCTGATTCTAACTACTAAATCAACTGAAACTCTCTTTAATCTTGCATCCAATGCCTGCAAATTTCAGTGGCCCTGACCTGCAGTCAGCATCACTGGCCAGTAATCTCCTATCAGTTAAATCTCATATTGATTTAACTTATTTTCTTGACATCAAACATAYGCAGAACTACAAAGAAAACAAGACTAACTTTGTTAGAGGCAATAATAGGGGAAATAAAGAGAAAGTGACTGGAAGTTTTATGTTCTGGATATGAAGGTGCATTGCTGGTGAGTGGTCAATATCTTACCTTTTAAATTGCCGTTGAGACTTTGTTTTAAAAGGCTTCTTTGAGGAATAGCCTTGACTGTTCCTTCTGCCGTAGTGGTTCTGCCCAGAGGTGTTGACTAGGCAGCAGATGACTTGGCAGCATCTGTGCACTCTGTTGATCTTGGATGCGAGTAAAGGGAATTCACAGGCAGCCATAAGACCCACAGATCTTGGTAGGATTCACTAATTACCTCCAGTATCTAGATAAACCTCTTGAATACAGTGTGACCGTAAAGAATTTTCTTCCTAATACATTGGGTTTTGAAAATGTTTCTTTAGTGCAGGTGAGAAAATATAAACTTAGTGAAGCATGTTTTTCTTTTTTCTCTCTCACGCAGGATTTAATCCAGCATTAGTAACCATTAATGGCAGAGACAAGCTGAAGGCCCTCCTTCCAGAGGAAAAAATCCTTTCATGATGGTTTCAACCAGCTGCTCAAAATGACTGTTCTTATCACCTCCTGATTAGGAGAGCTGTTTCTCCACGATTTTTTCTTCAAATGAAACATTTCCTTCTTATCAAACATCTCTTCTTCACAATACAGTGCTTCTTCATATTTCAGTACAAATAAATCCAGAAATAAGATTTATTTCCCCTTTCTATTTCTTCCTCCTTCCTCTTCCCACTTTTTTAAGGAACCCTGAAATTGTGTAAATTTACTTCTGCACCGTGTGAAAACATTGCTTTCTGTCTTTGGTGTAGGGGTTAACTGGCATCCAGATGGGCCCATCATAGCTTCAAACCCTGTTGAAGATGTAGAAAAGAAGATGACAAAAGCTGTAACTTTATCTACAGGTTTGATGTCTGTACAGCCTCYAACTTGAGGAAATCCTGTTGTCCCTTCCCAGTGGAGCAGGTTGGTCCCCAGCAGTCTCCAGGCACAACTAGAGGTACGCAGCTTTCTGTTTTGCATTCTGTATTTCTGTGCCTCCGGCCATCCTTAATTGCAAATATGCTGAAAACAACATTAATTTTACCCACAAACACAATGGTATTCCAAAGTAGCGGCCTGCTGTTTTTCTCCACTTTACCTTCAGCATTGTCTTCCTGGTAATTTATGCTAAATAAAATGCTAAACTTGGAATCCAGCATTGTCCACCATATAAAAGTGGGACCAGGATTCAGGTGGCTTTTCATCTGACCTATTCCCAAGGTAGTGGGTGCTCAAATGTTGGGATTTAAATAATAATAAAGAAAAAAAAATTGTGTAGAACTAACTACAGCAATTTGGAAATGTAGGCAATGCCTTTTCAGGATTTGTCAGCTCACAAATTTCCACTACTATAAAAATTCTCAAGTGCTCTTATTGGAATAAGAAAATTCTCAGACTGCCAAGTCCATAAGATATTTGCTTTTAGCTGTGATGATTTGCACAATATTATACCTTTAAAATGTTGTTGGCCTCAATTTCTGCCTGTCATTTTTCTTCTTCTTCTGTTTTTGACACTAAAGCAAGTCCAGATTCCATTTGTGAAGAAATTTCTCTGTTTCCTCTATTTGAAGACTATTAAAAAATGTTCTTCTGAAGACTACTGCTGTTTTACATATTGTAATAATGAGGAAGTAACCACACTAAGTATTTAGCATGAAAATACTGCCCAAAACTGCCCAACTTGCATATTCTGCAGTGTTTGTCTTTTAAATACATACATCTGGAAAAAGGAGAGTATTTTGCATGGAATTTGCTGAGAGAATGACCTAGATAATGTACTTAAATTTTCTCCATCTTTATTGTCACTGGTAGCGGGCCTTAGAGATGCTGGAGGTATAGGGTTGAAAAATTCTAATCAAGGAAGGAAGTACTAAAAAAAAAATTAAAAAAAATCCACAGCAAACAAATAAAACCCCTATAGCCATCTAGCCGTGAAAAAAATGTGCAAATTATTCTGGAAAGAGGTGCACACACAAGACAGATACAAAGTGTACGCTACGTAAATAATTGCTCAATATCTTTTCCTGTTGATATTTTGCAGTAAGTTAGGTTGAAGAAGAGAATGAAACCTTTAAAAAATAAATTTTGAAAAAGGAAAATTTTTCATCTCTTACTTATAATTCTAAGGAGTGCAGACTTAAAACTGATTTTATGTGAATGCTGACTAGATGTAAACTGCTGTTCTTGGCAAGCCACTGAAAGTTAACTACCATTTAAAAAGCATTCTGCAATATATCATTGCACTGCTCAGCAATAAAGTGCCTTAAATTCACTGTAGTCATTGATAACTCACAACCTAATAAAGATGGTGCTTAACTACCAGAGATCTGCCTGCTACAAAGTCGTTCTCAGTGGTAGAAGCCGTGCAAAATTCATGGAGTAAAGTGATTCATGAACTCYGTTTAATCAGCACACTCAAAATGGGAACAAAACTCTGCAGTTGTGGAAACCTGTTTTGAAACATTTTTGAAAACGTATCATGAGAAATATATATATATATTTTTTAATTTCTAAAAGATTTTTTTTTTAAAAGCAGCTGTATAAAGGTAAATGTTGTATGTATAAGATAACTAAACAACACCTATCAGAGCAGAATCATCATAATCTACTGGATATCTCTTGGGATGTAAGTATTTCAGTCAATCATTAAGTAGGGCTAATGTGTTCTGGGGTGTCCTACCACACTTATCTGGGCCCAGGGTCTTTGAAGTGCTGAACAAATCTGCTTTGACTGTAACCATTTCTGTTACACCAAACACCATGAAGAAGGATCAACACACAAGTTTGTCAGGGTAGCAGCACTTGTTATGTTAGTGATGCGCTCCAGCATGCTGGTGTTTGAATATAAAATGTTTGTGTCGTGAAGGTCATGCTAAGACTTTATCCTGTTTATTTTTGTAAGAGCTGGTACTGTTATATTAAAATATTTTATATAGAGAATAGAATGTAGAATGCTAGAAAAACTATCATACCCAATTAATAACTAATCGAAAGAAAATAAGGATTCGTTTTTTTTTTCCCCCACTTTTTTAATTCCAGAAAAGTATCTATACTGGTATTATCCAAAGCAATATGTTGGTGACTGTTTCCCCCTTGCTGTGGTGACTTCCTGTCCAAGTCCAAAATGGAGCAATGCAGGAGCCACCTTGCAGAAGAGCAAGTCTAAACATGCCTTTGCACATGTGATGGCCCATTTGACTGTGTAGCTGTCTTTTGTAGCCTCAGTTATAAAAAAGGGTATATGAGTGTTGACATATATGCGATGGGGGCAGAAAGAGGACAGTCCTGATGCATTTTCATGAGTGCATGGCAGATGCAGCCAAACTGCCCACAGGATTCACAGTGTGCAGCAGCCCACAGCAGTTGCGGTGGTCCCCAGGGAAAGATGATCTGCCTTGGGCACAGGCTTGCCACTTGAAGAAGATAGTCAGAGTGTTGGTTGAAGAGACAACGAGGTCTTTACCTGTTACTCTGGAGCAGCTCTTGAGGGTAAGAAATGCCACATGGCACTCAGCTGGAGCCGCCTTGCGGTGTGCCAGAAGGTAAACCAAGATTGATTTTCTATGCTGGATGGGCACGTGGTTTTGCTGTACCCTCTCCTTGTGGTTTTTAAGAGTTCCTTTTTTTTTCCCCCTGTTTTTTTTGTTGGCTGAGTAGTATCATTACTACTATGAAATAGAGTAGGATCATTAAAAAAAAAAAAATCACATATCAAAACAAGTTGCAGGGAAAGATGATAGTTATTTTGATTCATTAATTGAATTCCTTCTCTGCTGAACTTGGAGAGATCTTTGGTTCTTGGCATCTGTGTCTGGAAGGCGCTGAGAAATCTGGAGTGCTGTCTTGGTTTTTATTGCCCTTGAGAGAGACTGAGTGAGGAGAAATTAGGATGATGTGTGATGGAGTCCATCTCTGACTAGTGTGTTTGCACACTAGTATCCTTGTATCCACTGTTGTAGCTGGTAAATTTTCTTAAATAACCCCAGGAGTTGCAGCTGCAGATGGATAAAGAGGGCCCAGGAGTCTGAGGTGCAGTGAGGACATGGAAGGAGAGGGGAGAAGCAACTAGCTGGGATAAGCACCCCGACCTTGCAGCAGACACAGCGCTTTGCTTGAGCTTTGAGACTGCCTTTCAAGGGCTTTTTTTCTGAATCTTCAATTGTTAAAATTTGGCTGGTCCACAAAGGCAAGGATTACAGCTCAGTTTTTGCTCTCSGTGACAAAGGGACTTGTTTTAAAGGTAATCCCTGAGCACTTATCTCTGGCCCGCAGATAGCGCGGGCTGGTGCTGAGCAAGCAACCGGGGAGGCTGTGTAGCCCGTGCTCATTAGAAGCTCTGACAGGCTGCTCTGTAGCTCTGACCCTGTGGTGAACAGGAGAAAAGAAGGGGCCTGTGTGCGGTGGGAGGAAGTTTTAATCTCTGCCCAGGTGCTGTGTGAAGAAATCCTGTTAGAAAGAAAAGGCTCTGAGGATGTAGGTTTCACACATCACTTTGAAAATGTCCCCTTCATGAGAACGATGTCAAACCACGCTGCCAGTAAATGTAAAACAAAATGTGTCACAGTACTTTCCACACAATACTGTGTTTGAGATGCTTGTTTCTTTAGTTAAAATACCTTGGGAATCATTTCAGAAGCATTTAGGTAGGGATTAAAACTTCAGATMTCTTTGTCCTATATTTAACCTGCTTTGTTTGTGCTAATTTTTCATAAATCTTCATAAAATGCTGGGATGTGAGTGGTGGAGGGAAAGGCATTTGCTATAGGGGCTGTGTATTTAGTACCTAATAAAAGATGTGGCGTTTTCTTCTAAGATGCTTATTTTTTTTTCCTGGAAGTGAGCAGTCAGGACAGTGCTGGAAACTCTAGTGCTGAGAAGTCCCTAGGCAATCTCAGCAATGCAGGATGCTGGTGTCCTTGTCCCAGAGCTCGGCTTCCAGCTTGTTCAAGCAGAAATGGTGAAAGAAAGATCCATTTGGCATTGGAAGGCTTTTAATGCTAATAGGGAGGACTGAATCCCAGTGCATATTGAGGTGAGAGCTCCAGATTCAGGTACTTCAGCTCAGGAGTAACTGGACTATGTGTGGTCATACATAATCCATTGAAGAAGTAGTTTAAAGATACTTTTGGGTGGTATGGAACTTTGTGAAGTTGCTTAGCTGAAATTATTATGAAACTCTGATTTAAAAGTTAAAAATATGTTTGTCAACATTGTGTATCATTTGGCTACAGCAGTTTTTACACATCAGGAGTCAAGTTTTGCATGCTGTGCCATATTGCACTAAAAATATCAGTACACATGGGAAGCTACTTGAATTCCTGGAAAGTTCCCTGGAGTAGGCGTTTCAAATGTTTCCGCAGCTCTGGGATAGCAAAACTCAGCTTGCTCAAGTTGTCAGTGTTCAGGGGCAGTGCTCTCAGGGAGCTCCAGCCTCTGTTAGATAAATCTCATACCTACATTTTTTTCCAGTCTTTTCTTCRAGATTATTTTTAATGGTAATAGTAGTTTAATACTAGGGAATCTGTTGCATAGTTGCCTTATGACCTTTATTTTGAACACAGTTAATTATGGAATTTGAGGGGTTACCCATTTTGTTTCTTTTTCCCTTGGTGTGGCAAAGTGTTTTTATAATGAGCTTAGTTGGCTCTCAGTGTTACAAAAGGTTGCTATACACCAATGARTCATAATTACATGTATTTAGCATAATACTAGGAGTCATTTACAGCCAGTTGTTCGTAACAAATGTTAATTGTTGTCTTAAATGACAAGCTCTTCTAATTATAAAGAAAACAAACCAAAGTCGAGTTCTGCTAAGGAGCAGGATGTTTATATTACAGAGAATTTTGCTGTTTTATTCATGAGCAGCTATTCAAAATGGTAAAAAGATACAAATCTGGGGTGCCTTGAAGGTTTGAAACATGCCTTATCTTGATGAAAAATGATTGCTGGTTGTTTCAGTGAAATGTAGTTATGGTTGGGGCAATGACATCTCGTAAAATGCATGGAAGATGCCCCAGGGAAAGCTTCACTGATAACTGCACTGGGCAAACCACTTGAAATCGTAATATGGACTGTATGAACTCCATGCAATACAAGGTAAGAATGAAAACATTTAGGGTTCAGAACTGTGACCTAGCAGCGTGCCGTGAGCGCGTACACTGGAGACGAGGAGAGTGTTCAGGTGAGTAAGTACCCTGCTGCTGCAGCTTTAATGAACCCTGTTTGTAAAAAGCAGATAGCAATTTGTTTGCAACCTGTACGTCCCTCTGCTTCCAGAGGTGTGCTTGGAAATGGTGCTTTGCACAAGTCAAAATGTTTCTGCAGGGAGGACTGCCTGTCCTGTCCC